TATATATATATATATATATATTATATATATATATATTATATATATTATAATATATATATCTACACACACACACACACACACACACACACACACACACACACACACACACACACACACACACACACACAACACACACACAGTGGGGCAAAAAAGTATTTAGTCAGCCACCGATTGTGCAAGTTCCCCCACTTAAAATGATGACAGAGGTCAGTAATTTGCACCAGAGGTACACTTCAACTGTGAGAGACAGAATGTGAAAAAAAAATCCATGAATCCACATGGTAGGATTTGTAAAGAATTTATTCGTAAATTAGGGTGGAAAATAAGTATTTGGTCACCTCAAACAAGGAAAATCTCTGGCTCTCACAGACCTGTAACGTCTTCTGTAAGAAGCTTTTCTGTCCCCCACTCGTTACCTGTATGAATGGCACCTGTTTGAACTCATCATCTGTATAAAAGACACCTGTCCACAGCCTCAAACAGTCAGACTCCAAACTCCGCCATGGCCAAGACCAAAGAGCTTTCGAAGGACACCAGGAAAAGTATTGTAGACCTGCACCAGACTGGGAAGAGTGAATCTACAATAGGCAAGCAGCTTGGTGTGAAAAAATCAACTGTGGGAGCAATCATCAGAAAATGGAAGACATACAAGACCACTGATAATCTCCCTCGATCTGGGGCTCCACGCAAGATCTCATCCCGTGGGGTCAAAATGATCATGAGAACGGTGAGCAAAGATCCCAGAACCACACGGGGGGACCTGGTGAATGACCTGCAGAGAGCTGGGACCAAAGTAACAAAGGTCACCATCAGTAACACACTACAACGGCAGGGAATCAAATCCCGCAGTGCCAGACGTGTCTCCGCTGCTACTTTTTTTTTTTTAGGCTTTTTGTTGCTTCATGCATGGCCGCGCTGTCGCCTTTAGTGTGCGCCCACCTGCAGTGAGCTTGTATTAGCTCGCTAGATGAGCCAAAAGGAAAGAGGCCCAACGGAATACTTCACCAAATTGGACCATCCGCCAGCTGCCATTAAGGGCCCAATGGTTGATGGACCTTTGTATGGAGGGTTGTAAATTAGCCAGTGTCACGGACGGCAACATATGGACAGCGACATCCGAGGACACATGAAGAGGACAACCGGCAGGTAAGGAAGTCGGAGAAACAGGAGAACCTGACAGGAGGGAGGAAAAAAGCGGTAGTCCACGGCGTGGAGTAGCATTAGATGCGCTTCCCCAACCCCCCTAGGGAGGCCAATGCGGGGTCCGCCAGCTTAAGAGCGACGAACATATAATAAAAACACCCAAACCACCTGAAATCCATCTACAAGAAAAGAAATAAAAAGATGAAGGCATGGTACAAAAAACACAAGAAAATTGGATCACACAAAAAATTAATCTAAAGATTGTATTGGTAAGTTGTAGCTTAAATGTAGCGTCAATGAATTTGTGGTGTACGTAGCGCCATCTTTGGTCTATCGTGACAGTAACTGTAATTGCCTAACAAAACTAACTGCTGACAAAGTGCAGAGCTGTATGTGCAAACGCACACACAGCCAGTTCGGCAACGGTAGACACACTATAGGCGTGATGGTTACAATAGTCTGTATGATCATTACTCTCAACCTATTCGAGACCTACGCCCTCTTTGGAGAATTGGAATAGTACAGTAAAGTACTAACATCAGGTTATACACGCTAGCTCTACACCAATCTTCGACAAGTGGGCAACTGACTACCGAGCTAGATAGTGCTCTACAGCACCACTATAGGTACTTAGCAACACAAGTCACACGTAGTGCCTAGGCTCGTGTTGATTGAGGCCTGGTACGGAAGATGTCCACTAGAAAGATGGTTGTTAGGGTTTCGTTGTTGGAGAGCGAGTGTGGGTGTGTTTGACTTAGCCTCGGCGGCTGGTGCTCGGACGTTATCCCTGCTTGAGCCCGAACTTATTGGCAGACCCGCGTGTCCTTTTCCTTTCTTTCTTGGATATCTAATTTTGGAGTATCGCAATTGAAAAACATTCCGAGTTCCTTCATGGCCTCGATCTAAACATACTATGCAATACATCAGACGCGAGGGGTAGGATCCATGAGGAGGGGACCACCGCAGCGCCACGGCATGCCATCCAGGGGCATATTAGCAACCAGCACCAGTGTCTACAGTATCGGAACGGGGAACAAACACCTACCACAACAGTGACAACCCACGACGAGCACACCAGCACAAGGCGACAACAACACCAAGGAAGCAACGCACCAACACAGCAGGACATCACTCCACTCCACACACACACACACACACATATGCATGTATATACATTGTATATGATGTGTCTATTTCTTACTTAGTGTAGTGTCTGTCTTTGTTACTGTTAAACTGGAGCACTGTAACCAAAATCATTTCCCCTAGGAATCAATAAAGTATTCTGATTCTAATTCTGATTCTTTAAGTTTGTGAAGATCATCCAGGTGGGTTCTTCATCTTCTTCCTCCCAGGTCATCCCCCTTTGAGTTGCTTCTTCTTCAAATATTGATCATCATATGATGTGAAATAGACAACTGACGTCACAAGGACCAACCTACAGGACTAAGCCTAGAGAAAGTGGAACAATGTTTTGGATTCACTGTTGACGGTTTGTTTTATTCTTTTTTCAACCCATCATTCTTCTCTTCCCAAAATCAGTAACATCCCCAAAGAGTGTCCCATCATCACTGATTTGATAAAGGCCCAGCTGGAATATTTTAGAGCTTCCTTTACAAATCTGTATTTCTTTGCTTTCCCTCCTCCGGTGCGACTCCCCTTGTCGGACATGATGGCCTGTGTGGCGGGGCGTGGTCTCATCCTGGGGGCTGGCACGGGTGCTGGAGCAGCCTGGACGTCAGCCACTCCCACGCGGTCGAGGGTGGTGGGTGTGGGTGCTGGCGGTGGCCAGGACCCAAACTGAGCTGCCAGCCTCTCAGTTGTCTGCATGCAGCACGAGACACTGCCACCAGCTCCCTCTATGTGGCCACCATTTCAGCCACCATTTGGCCCAGCTCCTCCCCTGGCTGGCCCAGTACCGCGTCTGCCATGCCCCCATCCCAGGTTCTAGCACCACTGTGAAATATCCACAGTTTCACACTTTTCAGCATCTTCAGTACTACCGGCCGAAGCTTTCCTGTCACACAGACTAACAACAACAGACCGACAGGACCCAGTTCAGACTTTAAGCCGGCGAGGCGTGATTGTTCAGGTGCGTCCCCCTCCCTCGCTGCTGCCCGTCACAGCCTGATTTTGGAAAGAGGTATTTCGCACTGGAGAAGGCCCCTGAAACCCACATCCTGATTTGCTCTGCTTCAGGTTGTGTTACTTTTGTAATGCTTATTGCTGTTTCTGTTGCTGTCGTGGCAAAACTGAGCCTTTTAACTAGCACATCCTCCTCTGGCTTAGTGAGCTTCCTATCGATAGGTTCTTCACCCACTAATCCAATTTCTAAGTCATAAAATAATGTGTGTACGTGCTATGTGTTTACAGAGACCTGGTTCCTCCTCAGCTCCTCCTCCAGCCTGTGCAGGTTCTGCTTCACTTCATCCAGTCGAGGCTCCAAACTGCTAGCATCGCCCATCTGAGGACTTCGTTCATAAACCTCCCTCATCTTCAACAAAGCGTCCCTGAAATGACACAGAACCATTAACACACATGCACACACACGCACAGAGTCCCCCACCAGGACCAACACCCGTCTCACTAATGAGACAGCACTTTGGATCAGCTCCAGACCCAGTTCTTCCTTTGAGCTAGCTCCACCTCTGGCGCCACTAAAAACATGAAACTCTGCTGAGGTTCGCTGATCCAGGGAACAGGTTCAGCTGAAACTGTGATATCAACCTCCAAAGAGAGCATTAACTTACCATCAGTTACCATTGTAACAGACTCTGTGAACTTGACCTGCTCACTGAATCGGATCCACCCAATCATAGGCTGCCATGAACCAGATCAGAGTCCAGTTAAAGATTGGGACAGATACAAAACATAACAGGATCATGGATTCACATGGGATCGGGCTGGATCCAGTTCAGCTCTGATCATTTCCAGGTCATCCTGTCCAGCTCAGTTCTGTTTCTGGTCACAGCGGATTATTTCGATCTGTGTTCCTGATTTATGCGTCTGACGCTGAAGCAGCAAAAGTGTGAGCACTAGAAAAGTTTGCTCTACAAAACCTGCGCTGGCAAACAGTAGAGGGGCTGTAATCAATTTCAGATCACATTAATGATTAATTGCACTACTGAACAATTAAAAACTACCTGTTAGGTTTATCTTAGATCTCAGGTTTAAATATCTATCCTTTAAATTAATTTTCTGTTGTTTACAGAAAAAAATTAAAACCCACAGATTCCATTAAAGTGTATCTGATCATTTCATGCAGAAAGTTTGTTTTAAGAACATGACAAGACAATTACTCATGAGCACCCAACATTCAACATTTATTGTGCCATCTTAGTCATCTGAGAAACAGAAAAATCAGTGACATAGCTCATCAGGCTCACAATCCATCAAAACTCATAGGCTGCTCCCTGTGAAACAATAAATTTGAACTTGGTCTTGAGCCCAGTTTGGGTGAAGACAGATTGGGTGATTAAGTTTGAATAAATTCTGAACAATACTCTAGAAGCAGTAGCGATTCTTGTGAATTGTGGACAGCTGGTCAACAGAATCCTCACCATGGTATGAACTCATCAGACTTTCAACAGGATGAGATAAAAACTGTTAAAATTAACAACATAAAGTCTGCATTATTGTAATGTATCAACGGGACACTTGCTATATTAGAAAAATTATTCTTTACATTTGCAAAATGTTTAAACTTCATTGTGCTCAGGCACACCTGTTAGCATAAAACATGAAATATTAAAATAGTACAAAACCTTTACTGTTAAGTGACAGTAAAGATCAGTTTATAACAACTAAGACATCAAACTCTTGTATTTGTCTTCATTTACAACTGCAACAAATTCCACAGAACCAATTGCTCTGAAAATGAGTTCATGCTTCTGAAACATTTGATAATATGAATATTTCAGAAACATCGTTTGAGTCTGCTCAATTGCAAAACAAAGGAAAAACTACTGACTTGCATAAGATAAGCATGTGCAGAGTCCACCATTGTATTGCTGTTCACATAAGTTTCTTAAACCATGAACAATGGAGTGATTGTCTAATCTGGAATGCAGTCTGGTCATTTATTGATATACAAAAGTGAAAATGGGAGCTTGCAAGTATAAAAAACACACAAACAGTAAAATAAAAACTGTCCTTAACACTAAGGCAATTGTATGCTGTGAGCATACAATTACAGTTCTGCATGGCTTTCCGCAAGAGTCTGTTTCTTAGACCATGCACAAGTGAGGAGCACTGCCTTCCACCAATGTTCAATAGGATGTTCTGAATGACTTCAAAAGGTGTCCTTAAGTTCCTTTGGATAGTCTATGTTGAGGGCAAAAAGAAGGCCCATCGGCATGGAAATGGCACTCGAGACATCCCTCAGATTAGACAGGATTACTGCCGCCTCAAGGACAACCAACACATCGATGATGTCTTCTTCTTTCACCATCACAATGCCAACTTTCATCCTCTTAGTAAATGTGTCTTCAATACCCGTCAGCTATGAAAGGGTTCAAAGACAAAAAAATAATATACACAATTACAAATACACAATAGAAGAAGAGCCATACTGATGCTTTGGATGATGCTGATTGGCTTTGGGTAACACTTATTAGTTGTAAAGTTTTTTCAGAATGAGATGTGCAACACCATGTTACAAATCCATTTCTTGCTTTAAACAAAGACCATGTTCATAAATAACAGAGCATGTCTTCAATTGCAGAATGCAAACAAAAATGTAAATTTAAATTTACTTATTCGAAATATTGGCTGTGCTCTGAGCCAAATGTGACTGAGAATACATGAAATGGGCAAACTGGAGCTAAACTACAGGATCAGAATGTGGCTCCACAGACCATGCTTCTTTAATCAGTAAGAGTTTATTTTTTCCCCTTATATTAACAGCATGAAAAAAGAGCATATAGACATGGCTGGACAGGTTGCATAACTGGCACTGAATATCAGCATCCACCTTTACCCAGCTGTCCAGTAACCTTTAATTGCTTACCCAGTTTACACAGTCTCTTTTCCAGGGTCCAGGACATTTCACCAAAGTATTGCCCCCCACAGCTGTAGCAGCCACTGCAACCCCTTAAATATCCTAATATCTCTGGCATTAAAATATACAATGTGAGAAATCAAACACAAAGCAGAACAGTACAGCAGCGAAATGTCAAAGACCCTGGTGAAGACATGAATAAACACAAGAAACTAAGAATATAAATGCTAGTTTGTCAGTTAGTTTCTCTGAAACCCAGACCAAATCCAGTGTCACAGATCTCGTAATAACACATTTGGTGAGGAAAAGCATACATGTTATCATGTGGCATCTACAGGGAGGAGGGAGTTAACCCTTTGAGTTAAAGCTGAAAGTCTGCACTTTAATCACATCTTGATTGTTTCATTTAAAATTCACTGTGGTGCTGTAATTATTGAATTTACTAAAAGAAACAATGCTAACCTTCACAGTCTTGAGAGTGTGTGAGGGATCTTCCTTTAGAAGATGAGGTCCTCTCTGCTCTTCCTTTGTGTAGGGCTCTGGTCAAAGAAGTCAAAAAGAAAACAAAAAACTTTTTAAACAGTGTTTATGAAGCAGCTCCAACACAGCTTTTTGCTACATAATTCCATCAATACATGATTATTATTGGAGATTGTGAATCAGGCTTTCACAGGACATTCAAGTAGAATATGAAATCCAACCTACCACCAATATACACAGATTCTGTCAAAGTTACCACACTAAATGTCCAGTTGTGAAATATGATGACAGACTTTACTTATCAGCTTTCTTTGAATGAGTTCATCAGTTGAACTGGATAACCTAAACTTAAACAAAGGAGAACATTTAGCAGTTGAACACTTACATTATCATCGAGGCATTTTATGAGCCTAGTTAGCCCTCCTATGTCGCTCTTGGATTTGTACATCTCCATGAACCTCTCCATATTGGTTAAGCCCAGCAAATAGGGACCCTTTCAGGTCAACAGATGTAAGACAGGCAAATTCTGCTTCAACCTGACCAATGGAAGATGAGGGGTGTGGAGCAGGGCTGAGACGAAAATACGTCGAGGTAAAAAAATGTGCGTCGATGCGTCGTCACTTTCAAAACAGACATGGCGGCAGCGAGTAGCGGCAACAGGAGTGAGGCAGCCGCATTCAACTTAAATCACTCCACCCGAACACGCAGTTCTACAGGATATTTTAACAGAAAAGGAAGTGATTCAGTCGTTTGCCGGCTTTGTAAGGTGGAAATGGCCTATCATAAAAGCACAACGTCTATGCACCAGCACGTCAAATGACGGCATCCAGGAGCAGCTTCTGAAAAGGACAAACCACCATAAGTTTTCAACTTTTTTACTAACGCTGGTTTTTACCCTTTAATTCATCCAGACCCCTGCCCCCCCACGTAGACGTACACTCACTCATAGACACAGAGATAAACACCCAACCTCCGTAAATGCAAAACTCATTTAAGCTGCTTAGCAGTAACATATAGCAGCTGCTGTTTAGTTGGTTTTTATTTGTGGCCCATGCTGGCAAAATGAGTCGGAATGCACGCAGGCTGATTATGAGAATCGGCGAAAGACAAAAATGTGACACAGCGAATTGGCCGGAGGAAAAATGTTAACAAGAATAATGCACCACCTGCTAAACGCAGGTGTCGTGGACACTATTACAACATTGTTAAAGTGCTTGCAAAAGCAAAAGGACAACGAACTCTTGATTTGTCAAGTTTAATGTCTTTCATCCTATTTGAACTTATTTTTTATACGTATTGCTTCTCCAGCTTGATCTTATAGGTCAAAGTTATGCCATCTAATGACTAGAAAGCATTACACGAGTAAAGGTGCCATCAGCTATGGCTGTTTAAACGTTATCTTTTGTAAATATTCTTCCATAAGACCTAGAGCAATAGTAAGGTCCAACTTAAGCATCCTCATTGAGACTCATTTTGTCTGCATTTGGGGGGGCACATTTCTGTTTTTGTCTGCTTGCTGCTTAGTCCTGTACTACTTTGATTTGCTTTTTTGTAATGTAATAACACGATGGCTGCATATCATAGAATGTTCAACATTGGTGATTATCATTAATCTCTTACTGTTATGCTATGAAGGCACATGGCATAACAGTAAGGCACATACATGGTTTATATTTTTATTTACATATATCTCAACCAGACCCTTATCAAATTATTTTGATATTATGCTTTCCATATAATTATTTTGTAATTATTCAAATTCATCTGTGTGCTGTGTGTGATCTTCTCTCCTTCAATTTAGCAACACTGCCAGTTGAAGAGCGCCACACTGCAGAAAACCTTGCCTCCTGGGTGGAGAAGGTGGCAGAAAAATTCCACATTTCCTTGCATAATGTCCTTGCCATTGTGCATGATAATGCAAGTAACATAGTTGCAGCTCTCCACATCCTGAAAGAGAAGTTTGGAGTGGTGTCCTATCGGTGTGCCGGGAATACACTGCAACTGGTTGTAAACCATGCACTGAAAGACCCC